TTTTTTTTATAAAATTAATATATTTTAATAAATCAAGATAATAGATAGTATTTAAAAATTTTTGTCTCGTACTATAATTAACTATTTTATTTTGAAAAATAATTACTGACTTTGTATTATAAACTAATTATTATAAAAATAATAGGCGGATAATTAAGTCAATTCAAAATCCCTGCCGAAAAAAATGTTTTTTTACCAATTTTTATATTTCTACCACAATTTTCATATTTCTCTCGCAAAATACCAAATTTCTCCGACAATTTGAAAATTTTGACCTGGCAGCCCTGCCTATGGGTCAGACATTGACCTAAAACAAATTTTTCGGCAGACCTGGGCTCAGCCTGATCAAAAAACCAAGGCCCATGAAAATCTGATTTTGATTGTATTTTTAAATTCATTATAATTTTTTAAATATTTCGTTTCAATTCTCAACTACCAAAATTATTATGATCTTTCATTGAACTTGGAAGAATTTTTTCAAAATTATTTATGGCTTTGTAACTTGCTTGGGAATTTTTTTTAATATAAAATATTAGATATTATAGGTGATTAGTAATATTTAACAAATAATATTGATATTATCAAGTAAAATCTTTAAATATATTTTGACTCAAACCATAGTATTACACTTATTTTTAATGGATTGATCCTGGCTGATGGGAGGGGAAGGGGAAAAGAAATTGGATATTATTTTCAAATAACAGGTACCAACTTCATAAAAGTAATAAAAAAATTCTCATTCCCCATCATTTTTGACAGAATATCGATTAGTTGTATTATGATTTATAGATTAGGTTAAGTTTTTTGTAAATTGAATCCTTTATATTTTGTCCAAAATTTTGAATCAAATATTTTCTTGGACTATTGTATTTTATATGAAAAATTAATATAATATATATACAAAAAATTAAAATAGAAATACTTTGACGAATACTTTTTGCATAAATAAATACTTTAATTGCACAAACATTTAAATTAATATTATTTTAACAAAATTGATATAACGATGCTTCAGGTAAAGTAATAAACTAGCCTTTACAATCTCAGGGGGCTCAAAAATTTTTTTTTAATTATTTTCAAACTACCTTTTTTATAGCTAATATTTTAATTAAAAATTATTTTTTAAAAAAAAATGAAAAATACCATTTTCTGAATCTCCTTAAAAAAGTTAAACATGATTCTGTATTCATTTTTTAAAAAATAATGTATATTGACAGAGGGCGCGCAGTTTAGTCAAAAAAAAGAAGTGTTTTTTCAAAAGCCCATAAAGTTATAAAAAAATTTAAATATAATATTAACATTTTTTGATTCCTTTTAATAAGCTATATATGATTCTGCGTTCATTTTTTTAAAAATTAAGCTTCTTTGATAGGGGGCGCGTTATTTAGTCATGTAAAAAAATTATTTTTTTTACAAATTTTACTTTGTTACTCATCTTATAAATATAAATACGATTCTATATTAATATAATTTAAATTAAACTTCTTTGATAGAGGGCGCGCAGTTTCCGGGGGCGTGTATTTTACTCATACCCTTCATATCCTTATTGAGAATTGCTGTCTGTCATCGTATTGCTTGTTTTGTTTAATAAAGTTACTTCTCAAAAAGTGGCACACTATTACAAAACTATACATATTTAAAACAAATACAAATCAAATAATGAATTATTTGGATTTGATTCTTAACAAATCAAATAATCAGGAGGGAACTGGCCATAAGACCAGTTGGGTATTTTACCCACGAGGCCGCGAGAAAATGTCGATTTTTGAGGCCGATCAGAGGAAAATATCAAAAAAGAACCGATTAGAAAAAAAATATATTACTATGTTTACATTATTTTCTCTTATCATTTATTTATTTTAATGATATTTATATTATTTGAATATCACTTTTTTTAAAAAATATATACTAAATAATCCCCCCCCCCCCTCCTTGAGAATTATGTCGTTTACTATATTTTAATGCGTAAAATATCAATAGCGTCGCTTGACGATACATCATTACCACGTGCTTTTCTTTGTTTTTTTTTCAAATGAAGCGAAAACGCTTCCGTTTGAGTTTGAATAGAGTGAAGGGGCCATTCCACGTCAAATCACGATTCGGCCGACCCCTTTTAAAATTGTTAAAAATTTCTGAAATTATTTAGATAGGTAAAAGAGTGAGAAAGCCGTTTATTTTAGCTCGCTAGCACACCTGGTTCTCAAGATATAGGGGCTCAAATGTACAAAAAAGAGCCACTTTGGAATCTGTAAAATTTTTAAAATGCTTATATCTCAAAAACTATTTATAGTAAAAAAAATTATAATATATCATTTTGTAGGTAAAGAAATTCAATATTGGGCTAACAAATAATAATAAATATTGGCGCCATTATAAGCTTTTAACATCCGGTTTACCAAAATTGCTTTACCTGTATTTTTAAACAAAATAGTGAGTTTGTTTTCGAATTTTTTTTATTAATTTTTATTTAGACACCTTTGTTAAATATATATGGTGAATTCCATATCAAATCAACCAAGGTTTCAACCCGACCCCCTTCAATTTTTCTTAAATTTTGTATACTGGTAGTATATACTATAACTAAGAAAAAAATGAAATTTTACTTTCCAACACTGTTTACCCGCTAAAATATGGCCTTTTAAAGCGCGGAAAAATGGTACATTTTTGACAAAATGCACCTCTTATTTTCAAATATCTCGAGAAATAATTATGTTAAAAAAATAATTTAAATTTTATTTTGTAGCTTAATAAAAGTTCTTTAAAATGACATTAAAATAAATATGATAGATATTTTATTAATATCGAAAACCGGATGTGTAAAACCGGAAATGGCCATAGAAAAAAAAGGTATTTTTTTTTAAATTTATTTTCTATAGATAGATATCACATTGCTTTATATTTGTACAAAATCCTAGACTGGGATCAACATGGGTTTAGGAGTTATCACTCTTTATATGGCTAAAATTGAACAAATTTAACATTAATATCATCATATTTTAATTTAATGAATAGTTATGAAATAATGTTAATTTAAAAATTATGTCTAAATGATAGGCCCTTACTTTTTTTATCTTTATAAGGTCATTCTAATTATACTGTGGAACTAGGTAAAAAAAAATAATATTTATATATAAATTTTTAGATAATTTCGGTTTTCTTATTTATGTTATATAAAATTTTGAGCATATTATTGGTTTTATTCGTATTTATATATTTAAATTTTTTAAGATTAATCAAGATCATTTTAATTAAGTGGTTATTGAGTACGCTCTAATGTATATTACACAAATAAATTTATTAAGTTTAATACTTGAAAATATAAGTATAATTATATTTGTATTTCTAGTTTTAAGTTTTACTTTAGGACTAATAGTAGGAAGAAATACATCTTTTATAAGATTAGAAAATAAAGAGCTAGAAAAAATTAAGAATGTTATAAGAAATGAAAATAAGATAAGTCAATTGGATAATTTTAGGTCAGTCAAGTGTTACAGTTGTGGAAGATATGGACACATTTTGAGGCAATGTGAATTAACCGAACATTTGAATTGCGCGAGATGTGGACGTAAAGGATACATAGTTACCAATTGTAGAAGTTTCTTAGACAATAATTTAGTGTTTAAAATGTGGTCAAAGAGGACATGCTCAAGAAGCTTGTAACAAATGACTATATAAAGATAAGGATAATTTTATAAATTATAATTTTAATAGTATATCTGATTTTTATAATTTTAGTTATAATTTAGGAATAAATGATAATAATATTGATTTAAAATATATGAATAAATATAATATTGATTTAAAATATATGAATAAATATAATATTGATGATAAAAATTTTTTAAAGGAAAAAGTTGAAATAGAAAACGTACGTAAAATTGATTTAGAAAAAATAATTAGGAAAAATAAATGTCCGAGGATTAAAATAAAAATAGGTGAAATTGAAATATGCTTTTTATTGGATACAGGAGCTGAGATTAGTTTAATGAGTGTGAAAGATTTTTATAAATATTTTTCAAAAGAAAGATTCTGTGCAAAGAGAATAAAAATTAGACAATTAGACGGTAGCATGGTTAAAATTCTAGGTTTTTATGTGATAAAATTGTTAGATATAAATAAGGTAGTTAAGTTATGGATTACAACACTAAAGATGAAGTCTATTTTAGGTTGGAATGACATTAAGAAGATAGGTCCTGAATATAATTGGTGGTATTTGTTTGAAAATGTCCGTGAGAACAACAAAATAACGAAAGAGATAATAAGAAGTGAGGATAAAGAGAAGACTGATTTACATTGTTTAAGAGTCAAACAGGATATAGTTCTCGATGAACTCAAAAATCGAACACCAGAATTTTTAATTAGATATAGAAGTAACTTAGAAGAAAATAAGGAAACAAGAGATATAAAGACAATAGAGGTAAATACAAACAACAAGGAATTAATAAAATGGTAGAACTAAATGTTGTTGAGGATAATTTTAACAAAAAAATAAAGAATATTTTGAATAGATATAAGGAAGTCTTTAAAGAAGAATTAGGGACTCTTAAAGATTTTGAGGTAGATATACGATTAGAACAAAATTCGACCCAAATATTGCTGCAAAAGAAGATTGCCGTTTTCGTGGATTGAAGATATAGATAAAGAATTAGACAAATGGTTAAAAGAAGGAATTATAAAACCAATAGTGCATAGTGTATGGGCAACACCGTTAGTTCCCATAAGAAAACCAGATAACAGTTTAAGACTGTGTATAGACTATAGAGTATCAGTTAACCCGTGGGATAAACGAAAGATATCCATTACCTAGAATAGAGCAATTGCTGGCTAATTTAAGAGGAGCAACAATTTTTTCAAAGATAGATTTTTCGAATGCTTACTTACAAATAAAGGTGAGTGAGAAAACAAGTAAGATATTAACGATTACAACGCATAGATGATTATTTGCTTTTTGTCGTTTACCATTTGGTTTGAAAGTATCGGCTCCAATATTTCAAAGAACTATGGCGGCGTTATTTCAAGGAATAAAGGGAATCATTTATTATTTAGACGATGTTTTGATATCTGGTAGAACAGAAGAAGAACACAATACTAGGTTAGTTAAAGTGTTAGATATTATATTAGAAAATGGTTTAAAAGCTAATATGAATAAGAGGGTTTTTGGAGCAAGAAAAATAAAATATTTAGGACATATTATAAAGGGGAATGAAATTACTCCAATTGCAAAGAATATAGATAAGATAATGAATAAGAGAGCCCCAAATAATAAAAATGAAGTACAGGCGTTTTTAAGAGCAACGAATTATTATCATCGTTTTGTTCAAAATTTCAGAAATTGCCTCACCATTGTATGATTTATTAAAGAAAAATAAACGGTTTGAATGGGGAGAAGCACAGGAGAGAAGTTTCGAAAAATTGAAAATAAAGATGGTAGAGAAACCGATTTTAAATTGTTTTAATGAGAAATTAGATATTATATTAACGGTTGATGCATCTAATGAAGGTATAGGAGGAGTTTTATTACAGATGACCGATGATGTTGAGAAACCGATTTTATTTTTATCGAGACGGTTTAGTAGCACTGAGAAAAATTACTCCACGATTGAGAGAGAGGCTCTGGCTGTGAAATTCGGGCTAGAGAAGTGCAAAGAATATCTGATTGGAAGAAGGTTTATTTTATATACGGATCATAAGCCGTTGGTAGATTTATTCAAGAAAGAAAATAAAGAACTTATGATGTCACCAAGACTACAGAGATGGTTAATTTTAGGTAATTTCGATTTTGAGATAAGATTCAGAGCAGGTAAACAAAATTGTTTACCAGATATATTATCGAGATTGTTTAAAAAAGACAGTGCAAACAAGGATACAGTAATCAATAGTTTAGAATATATAGAAGAGGAGGAAAAATTAAATAGTAAAGTTATAAGAGCTTTGAAGATAGATAAAAGAGAAGAACCGATAACGTTCGAAAGAATATAGGAGATATCCATAAAAGATGAAGAATTAATAAGAATTAGAACTTGTTTGAAAGGAGAGGCAGAATGAAAAAGTGAAGTCAAAGCTTTTAAGAATATAAGGAATGAATTAAATATAGAAGACAATTGTTTATTGAGAGGATATCGATAGTGATACCGATTAAGTTAAGAAAAGATACATTAGCCGTATTACATTCAGGACATCAAGGCATAGAAAGAATGAAGAATAAAGCAAGAGAATATATTTGGTGGCCCAAGATGTATAGTGAAATAGAAGAATTAGCTAGAAGCTGCGAGACATGTAACATGTGGGATAATGTACCACCAAAGAATAAAGCAGATAAATATCTATTTATTACAGTATAAAATATTTTCGATTGCTGATATAAAAAAATTTGCGTCTAAAGAATTACAAGTATGTCTCATTGATAATAGTTTTTAAAAACCACATATTGCAATAATATAATTCTTAGCAACTTACATTGAAAAAAGATTATCAAACTAATATAACTTTCTGTTACCATTTTACACATTTATAAAATGGACTAATAAGGAAAAATTTATAGGCCTAAACCAAATCAACAATTCTTGAAGAAGAGAGTATAAACGACCAATCCAAATCATAAAACTATTAAGTGGTTAGAGCTTCCTTTTAGATGACATAATGGTAGCTAGATAAGTAATCGAGAAAATTATTGTGAAATGATACATAATATATAAACGAATACACAGTTGACCATTATTGTTTATCTAAAATATGCAATCATATGCTCTCAGCCGTTGTAATAATAATCTTAAATTACATAGCAACACAAATAATTTATGCTTGTTAATTTGCAGTGATAGCCATGACACTCATGATGTAAACTAGTATCAGAATTTATTATGTTGGATAAATTGATAAAATAAAAACACTAAAAATCTTTGGAAGATATAATTGTGTGAATATATTGAAGCCTTGAGTTATTTACACGGCAAGGATGTCATATTAAAAATGAAACATTTTGGCACAATAAAATAAGGACCAGAATGATATGATGAAACAATTAAGATTTTATATATTGTCGCACCACCTCTATTTGGTATATTATATCTTAAAATAATAGTAATTTTTATAAATTTCAAAAATACACTTGTATAAAAAATTTAACTCAAAACTGTTTTTTGAAAAAGAAAAAAATCCTAACGTAAAAAAGAAAAGATATCAAATTTATTAATCTATTGTATGATGAATAATAAAATGTTTAATTTTTAAAATTATTTATAACTAAATAGATGGCGTTAAATACTTGAAAGCAAATTGTTACTATATTTCAGAGACCTGCAGAGGTACCATTTGTACGGCCCAGCCCGGATTAAAATATTTTAGACCCGGGCCGGATTTTTTTTTCAAAATTTTTTTACGGCCCGGTCCGGGTTTAAAAATTTTAGGCCCGGCCCGAATATTTAAAAAAAAATTTGGGGGGCCCGGCCCTGCCTGGATTTAAAAAAAAAATTTTTTAAGCCCGGTGTAACGTGCTAGAATTACTCATGTATTAAAATCACTCTTTTTGGCCTATTTGAGTAAATTTAATACTTATTCTTCTATTATAATGTAAGTACATACCTGAGTAAGTTTTTACCTTAATAATGATATATTTTAAAAAATGTTTTATAATTTAATTTTATATTTTTTTTAACTTATCAATCAAAAAACATAAATTTTCTATAAATTAAAATATTCAAATTAACATTTAATTCAGAAATGACAATTGATAATGAAGATAGTAAATTAAATATTTGAATTTTATATAACTTTTTTAGATTATGAAGAAATTAAAAACTTCATATTATACAAAAAATCCCCAAATTTACTATGCGCAATGATAAATAATATCACCATACACACAATGAAGTTATTATGAACACTACTAGAAGAAAAGAACTTATTAAATCAGTTCACAATGATTGTGATAATAATATTGAAACAATTTTACCTGCTGGCCATTTTGGTATTAACAAGACTCATAAAAAATTGGCTGATAAGTAAAATGTCATCATTGTCATAAATAATATTATATTTTAGCTTCTGGTGGCCAAATATGATAGATGGTGTAGTCAAATTTATTAATTCTTGTGACACTTGTCAAAGGTGTAATACAAGATTTGATAAAACTACCAATGAGTTACAATCAATTCCTGCTAGAACAAAGGTAGTAAAATTTATTATATAAAAATAATTGATTTGTTAAATTTTTTATAGCTTTAGTCATTTTAACTGTATATAATTTTTTTAAATATATTTATTATTTATAGTCTTATTAATGGTATGACACTATTATATATATATGTGACACCTGTTTTTATAAGTTATGTTATTTTCACATATTGAACCATTTAAATTTTAAGTTAGTTTATTATATCTTCTATCCTTATTAGAAGAACCATATAAAGTGGTAGGTAAGCAAATTTATTAAATTATCCATTGAATCTTTTTACATGAAATATATGATATATCCATTTTAGTTTATATAGTAAAGCCTCTACAATTTCAGGTTATAATTTATATTAATTTTTTTACTTGACCTTAATCCCCATCTCTAACCTTTTAACCACTCTAAAATTAATTAACGAGATTAACTCTTTTTAATATAATATATATAGTATAACAATAAAATTTTTTATAAAAGGTATGGTCACAAATAGGAGTTAACATGTGTACTTTGACAGAAAGAGAGGATGGCTATAAATATATTGCAGTAGCTGTTGATTACTTCGGCAAATATGTTGTAGCCATGCCTTTAAAGGATAAAACAGCTAAATCAATATCGAAATTCCTTTATTTATTACTATTCACATATGGCAAGGCAAAAGTATGATTTATTTGGTAATAAAATATTAATTTTAGTTTTAAGATTCAAATTAATGATCAAGGACGGGAGTTTGTGAATGAAGTTAGCACTAATTATCACAAACTCATGGGGACCATGCAGAGGGTGACAAGTGCTTATCACCCAGAGTTGGGCAGGTCCTCCAGAAAAAGAATCTAGATACAGATACAGATTCTTAATAAAAAAATGAATCTTAGATACAGATACTAGTATATTTTTCAAAATATCAAAAAGATACAAGATAAAAGATGCTTGTATCTTTTACTAAATTAGAGTATTTTAAATACAAGATACTTTTAAATTATCATTACCAATTAAATTAGAATAGTTTATAGAATACAGTTTTTATTATTTATTTGTGAAGAACATAGCATACACATATAAGAATGAATATTTGCAATAATTAATAAAATATTTATTAATGAATTAATTATAATAAACAGGGATTTTAATATTAGTTTTTGCCCATTAATAGCTTAAACAGGGAAGGGAGAGTAATATATTTAATGGGAGTTGAAAATTTGCAAATAAGAAAAAAAAATTAAATCAAATGTTTTATTAGAATTTGCAGGTTATTTTCTGTGTTGTTTTAAATATAGCTTATATTCGGATAATATGGCTAAATGGCGTCTCTAAAAAAATATACTAGTTTTATTTATTCATTATATTTAATAAGTATTTATCCTTACTTGTTTGTGATATTTATGTATTTTTTAAATTAGTTTATTTTCTAATATGACTTATTAATTCTTGCGTTTGTAATAACATATATTTAAATCTCTTTTCAATTTTTTTAAATATATTTCTTGCAAAATCATTAATTATATTTCATTATTTTATAATTATTAAATACATAACAATTTTCTTTAATGCATTTTAAATTGATTAAATTTTGTAAATAAATACTGTATCAGTAAATATTCAAATAAAGTAACCCATGACCGGATTTTTTTTTTACTTATACCATTAATAAATAAAAGAATAAAGTTAAATTCCACCTTATTATATTTTTTTAAGAGCCTTTTAAAATTATCTAATGTTATATATCAATTGTAGCTTAAATATTTCCTCTAAGAACTTGCTAAAATAATTATATATAAAATATATTAGGGATGTGCCGATATTTTTTATCAAATCGGGCCGACTTCACCCTTTAAAATATCGGTTATCGGCTAATATTATAAAATTTGATCCGATATAAAATGGCTTCTTTAAGTTATAAAATTTTTAAAAAAAGTTATATCTAAGATCATTTATTTTTATAAATAAAATCGAAATCCATATTTATGTATATTTTTTTAATAATAATAATAATTAATAAACATTCTGCCATATTGTTATTTTTTTGCGCATTCTGTTTATTATAGTGTGCGAAATTCTCTTCAGAATCTGTTTTTAGTGAAGTTGGTGATATTGACAGTTACTATCGCCGCAAGCTGACCTCTGATAAATTGGAAATAATGGTATTTCTAAAAAGAAATCTTCGATATATTAATGTTAAATATTATTTTAAATATTTATTTCAAATTTCATAATATAATTGTTTATTACTTATTATATATATAGATTAATGGCTTCTTTAAGTTATAAAATTTTAAAAAAAAGTTATATCTAAGATCATTTATTTTTATAAAATCGAAATCCATATTTATGTATATTTTTTTAATAATAATAATAATTAATAAACATTCTGCCATATTGTTATTTTTTTGCGCATTCTGTTTATTATAGTGTGCGAAATTCTCTTCGGAATCTGTTTTTAGTGAAGTTGGTGATATTGACAGTTACTTTCGCCGCAAGCTGACCTCTGATAAATTGGAAATATTAGTATTTCTAAAAAGAAATCTTAGATATATTAATGTTAAATATTATTTTAAATATTTATTTCAAATTTCATAATATAATTGTTTATTACTTATTATATATATAGATTAAAGTTATAAAATTTTTAAAAAAAGTTATATCTAAGATCATTTATTTTTATAAATAAAATCGAAATCCATATTTATGTATATTTTTTTAATAATAATAATAATTAATAAACATTCTGCCATATTGTTATTTTTTTGCGCATTCTGTTTATTATAGTGTGCGAAATTCTCTTCAGAATCTGTTTTTAGTGAAGTTGGTGATATTGACAGTTACTATCGCCGCAAGCTGACCTCTGATAAATTGGAAATATTGGTATTTCTAAAAAGAAATCTTCGATATATTAATGTTAAATATTATTTTAAATATTTATTTCAAATTTCATAATATAATTGTTTATTACTTATTATATATATAGATTAATGTTATTACTTATTATATAAAAGTGAAATGTTATTACTTACTTATTATATAAAAGTGATTAATAAAAATATTTTATATTTTTATAGAATTGCAATTGAATTGAATATAAACTATAACTCATCATTATAATATATTTAAATGACATAAGTTATGGATAGACGTTATACTAATAAAAAGTATATTATAAATGAAAACCATTGGTATCTTTACAGAATACAAAATTAGATATGATATCGGATCGGTAATCTACCGATATCAATTTAATATCGGGAATATCGGATCGGCCTCCAAAAAAGTGGTATCGATACATCCCTAAAAAATATATATCCAATGATTTTGATTTGATATTCAACCATCTTCTATAAAAAATTTTAATAACATTTATCTAAGAGCGACTTAAGTATAGGTATTATTATGTTAATAATTATAAAATAAAAATGTATAATATACTTTAATATGTGTTGCATTATTCTAACTACAATATAAATTTTATTTTTTGTTATAATCTAATTTTATTTTATAAACGGCATAACCTTACTTTTTTAATATTATTTTACTTTTTTGTATTTCGTTTTATATTCTAATTTATATTTTAGAAAATGTATATATACCTTTAGAAAAGAAAAAGAAATTAGTTAATAAAATATATTTTTTATTTAATAAAGTTAATAAAACATATTTATTATTTACCGGCACTTAATTCATGTTACTCTACATGGTGCCTCCAGTTTTGGCAAAAGAAACTCGCCTTATGGAAATTTTTTTTTAAAAATAAAATTTTTTTCCCTTTGTAAATATGATTAATAAAAAAAATTATAAAATGGTACAAACAATTCTATATAAGATGGATAAAAAAAGGGTAAGTCATTTCAAAATTATTTTCATCAATTATGTTCGCCTTCAAACTACTAAATGTACCCCATCAAATTTCCATCTACGATATTTTATTTGAGTTAACTTATAATTCCGATGTCAACTTTTATAGGATAAACGGTACGGAGGATGTACTGTTTGAATTTATGAATTTAAGAGACAAGATAAATTGCTTTGAATTATTAAACGGGAAACACTATATTTACGGCGATAGTGATTTCATTGAATTAATTTGTATATTTGTTAAATCATAAATAGTTATACCAAAACTTGAATTAATAAAATAATAAATGTTATAATTGCTTATTTATGTGTCTTATTAATTAAATATGGAAATTAAACAAGAATTTACACATAAGATCCCTAAGTTAGTGGGTCCTCTTACTGAAATTTATTTAGACAGAATATTAAATTACTTTTCGACCAGTACATTATCGGACTCTATTAAAATTAATACTTTGCTTAATAATTTATCAGACGAAGTTTTTGACGACATTAAGGCAATTTGTTCTGATACCGATATTTTAGATCTTAAAATTGTGATTAAAAAGTTAACCTATCTTTTACCAGAGCTAAATTTAAATACTTTAATTAATAAATTTAATCTTCTTCAACAAAACTCATCAGAGAGTTTTATGCTGTGGTACATTAGAGTATCGAAACTTCATAAGAAATGTAATTTTTTGGACGATAGTAGATTAAAAGAGAAATTACGGACATCTACTTTAAACGATAAAATTAAATACAAATTCTCAAAAAATTTTGACCTTACATTGAATCAGATGGTGGAATTAGGGGTGAAACTGGACTCTAGTAATATTAAGTCTGAGGATAATGATATAAGTTATATAAATAATGATAAAAAGTCCGATAAAGATAAAAATTTTTGCAGTAGAAATGATAATAATTTTAGAAATAATTTTAGAAATAATTATGATAATAGATATAGAAATGGGAATTACAATAATAATTTTAGATACAATTATGGTAATAATAATTCGCGATACCACTATAATTATAACAATTATAACTATAACAATTATCGCTATAATAATAATCAATCGAATAATGGTAGAAATAATACATGGTATAATAATAATCAAAGAAAACAAATCCAATACGGTGACGGAAATCGTAACAATTACCAATCTTATTACAACAATTCAAATAATTATAGAGGTAATGATAATAATCAGAGAAAGCAAATACAATATAACAACAACTCAAATAATTATAGAGGTAATGATAATAATCAGAGAAAGCAAATACAATATAATAACAACTCAAATAATTATAGAAGTGGCGACGAAAATAATAGAAAGCAAATACAATACAATAATGATTACAACATGAATATTGAAGAAATTATTGAAGAGAAAGTTGATTCTACAAAGAACAAAGATGATAATGATTTTAATGTCAACAATTTATCTGGTGACGTGATTAATGACAAAGATAACGCATTTATGACTACTGTAAAAGTGAACGATGTTGTTACTTGTATGCAAGTGGACACTGGATCCAAATACACTATAATACCTCATGGTCTGGCTAAAAAATTTGGTATTAGAGATCTTAAGAAATCCGAGCTACAACTCACTGCTTATGACGGGAATTTAATCAAAATCATAGGAACTACTCAAGTTAAAGTGACTTATGATGGTATTTCGAAATATTTACAAGCGGTAGTGGTTGAATCAAGTAAAAATGCCTTGTTGGGACGTACGTGGATCAATGCTTTCAAAAATATTTTAAATAAATTTATAGCAAATATTGACACTAATTACGAAGATGAAATAAAAAAATTGATTAAAGAGTGTGAATCGAAATTAACTAATGGGCCAATCAACAAAGCAAGTGTCAAGTTACATTTAAGAAGTGATGCCCAACCTAAAATTATACCGCCTAGACGTATCCCTTATTCAAAAATTGATCTTGTTAGTAATGAACTCAAAAAATGGATACATGATAAAATAATTGAGCCGGTGAATGAT